AGACCAACCGGAGCGATGGGAAACTGTCAAAATGTGCCACTAAAGCGGTTTAGAATGAGAAATAAATCTAGAAAACCTGGTCGTGTGAGAGTCTGGGAGTCATGATATTGAGACTGAACCATCATTTGTGTGTTGGCAAAAGAAAATGTTGCAGAATGAACACAAGCAAGCTGGACATTGCTTTCTGTCAGAGCTCTTTTTCCTTTCACTCCTGCTAGTCACATTGTCAACTTTGCGCCCATTGCCAGAAGAAATGTCTGTCTTTTTGTGTTCATCATTTCACATGCCGCCTCTCGGCTGTCTACGAGTCTACTTGCCATCATGTCCCTTTAATCTTGTACCGGACGCCAACGAACTGTGACGGGAAAACGGTCAAGTCGAATGTGCATCGAGAAGCACAGATACACGCACAAAGCACAGGGTACATCCGTCCAGTGACGAAGTGCAAAAGAAAGGGAAGTTTCTCTGCCGTCCGAGTGAAAATCCTACCTTTTCACCTGCTGCATGACCCTTTCGTGCAACTGTCAATGCCCCATTTTGCCCCAAAAAGGGGGCCATCCATTCGGCCAGATTGCACAAGGTGCCCATTGTCGACTCGGTCTGTCCTGGCCCCGTTGGACGGGCCAATAAGAAGGTCAGAAGAGAAGACAATAGTTGTGCTTCAGTTCAAAACTATTTTTCACCCGATCCAGGGTCAAGCCTATTTTCAATTCTGTCCCGCTCAACTGAGTGAATGTCCGAAATTACACAATCGAACTGAAGACTCTTCTAAACTTGATAATACATGGAACAAAAGGGCCTTTGAACTTTGCACTGCTTTGATATATATATGTAAATATGTATTTATTAATTTATATATATATATATATATGTCCGAAATATTTATATAAATATGTCCGAAAAAATTATTTATTTATTTATATTAAAATATTTTTTTAACATATAAATATATATATAAATATTAAAATATAAATATGATTAACTAAATACATATATTTATTTATTTAAATATAAATACAAATAAACAAATAAATAAATATATAAATATAAATACTAAAACATAAATATAAACAACTAAATAACTAAACAACTAAATTTAAATGTAAATACAAATAAATAAATATATATATTTAAATATTTAAATATAAAAATATATAATTAAATATATACACATATATATTAACCGAAATATTTATTTATTTATTCTTATTTATATTTAAATATTAAAATATATATATATTTATAAATATTAAAACATAAATATAAATAGCTAAATAAATAAATTTAAAGATAAATACAAATAAATAAATAAATTTATTTATTTATTTAAATATAAATATATATAACTAAATATAAATATATTTATTTAAATATTTAAATATATAAAAAATATATATATGTCCGAAACATTTATTTATTTATTTATATTTATATTTAAATATTTTTTAAATAAATAAATAAATATTAAAACATAAATATAAATAACTGAATACATATATATATATATACAAATAATTAAATAAATATATTGATATATTTAAATATAAATATAAATAACAATATATATATTTATATATATATTTAAATATATATATAAATAAATAAATAAATATTTCGGACATTGACTCAGTTGAGTGGGCAGTCCGAAATTCTTGCTTCTTAGCTCGGTGTAGCCACCCGTTGAAAGAGGCCAGACCAATTCCTAATTGTGTCCCGTAACTTTTGTGAAATGCCCAAATACTTCAGAAAGCCTTGACAGTTCTGACAGTTCGATCGCTGTCAACAGGTTCAACTGTGTTTTCCACAATTGTTCACTTTTTTGATCAGCCACTTTGTTCTCTGTACCTGAAGTGGTGTCTTTCTTTAACCGGCGAGTGCATTCACCTGGATTCACTGCTCTTCCACTTTCTTTCTCATCCGACACCGAGCCCCAGATATCGTAAAAAAGAGTGCTAGTCGGCTGATACCACGCAGGAGGATTCTGAATTCTCCCAAAGGATCACAGTAAATCTCAATTTGTCTTGCTTTCCCGATGGTATTCTCATCCCGGCCGGATTAGACTAGACCAGACTGGAACGCAATCTCGACCTCGCCTGAACCGGTCTCGTCAGCAACTCAAGAGGGAATAAAACCAGGATATTTTCCACACATTCTGGAGGTCAAAAGGTCATAGAGTGAATCAGGAAGAACATGCCTCTCTCCTATCACATATAAAGTGGCTAGCAAACATGTTCAAGATCTATCAAAAGTCTAAAAAACCTACTTTCTTAGACTACTACTGAAACAACTACTACTATTACTACTACTCTCTAAGACCACCTACTCTGTGAAATATCTAAAGTAAAGATGCCAATCAGTTGAATCAACTGTTGGTCACAATATCTGGACATCTCCTTCATGCTATGCACCATTTTCGCACGGAAGTCCCTCCCACTATCCTCACTCTACTTCACTGTACTCCACTTCACTCCTGTCCGATCTACTCCAATCCATTCCACTCTACTCCACTCCATCCCAGCTATTCGTTTTTGGCCAACAGCCAAACTTGGAATTCCTATTGCCTACTCAACTATCAAGTTGACAAAAGGGCACCCCGCAAGGGTCAGTTAACTGTAAACATTATTCTGTTGCCAACCGACTTGTACATCCTTTTGTTATACAAAATTGCCACGGCCTCATTGTCTGAAATGGTCGGTTGCCTAAACTTTACAGCATGTAGCAGAATTCTGGGACGTCCGTGTCGCAAAGGAGGAAATCGCACTAATCTGTAGAAAGAAGCAAGTTAGTATTGTGAAGATTTTTAAAAACCAAGCCCAAACCAACCTTGATTCGACATGTCCTCGGAGTGTCGTGAAGTGGCGGGGACGGTTACAGAGCCTCCTCGTCGACTGCGTGGCAGACGCGGATAAATGTCGCTGGATCCATCTCCCCACCAGCTGGGCTGGCCGTAGAGTTCTGGCACGGTTAACGAATTCAGTTGGCAAGTGAGGAAAGCAGAAGGGCAAATTAATTAGGACAACTTATAGGAAAAACGGTAAGCAAACAAAAGTCGGCTTATATGAGATGTATTCACACTATTTCGTTGAAGGTGATAAAAAATTGGCTCAAATCATATGATTGTGGGAGAATTCTTCTTCTACCAGTCCTTTATCAGCTTAAACCAAATTAGGTG